GATTGATTCATCCACATCATTCTTGTGATGCATCAATCGAGTTTTGGGAAAACATCAAACTTCGTTAATCTAAAACATCTGGCTTCCTTAACACTTGAAGGAATTCCTGGGTATCCACTTGGAAGAGACGTGTGCAGAAGATTGTAAGACTGATACAGGAAATCTTGGTAGAAGATTGTGAGTCTGGAATGTACAACGGATCTTAGAAGCTACAAGAGGTAGATCGAGAGATCTAGTAGGTTGGATAGATAGTATCTACGATAGTAGATCGTTAGTCAGTAAGGAACAACACATCTTGAAGTTGCAGGGTTTACAATAGCTAGTGGAACTAGTTTGGAATTAAACTATAACCCACATTGTCTATAGTGGAGGTAACTGGCTTGGTCCCGAAGTTTTTACCCAGTTGGGTTTCTCCGTCATCAAATTTTGTGTTATTTATTGCTTTCCAAGTATTACAACTTCGGTAATTCAACTTTAGGAATTTGGATTGTATGCTTAACCAAAGTGACTTGTTACTTTAATTAGCATTATTCTGGACGTAAGGTCAAACTTAGTTATAAGACTACGAAATTTCAATTGGTATCGTGGCTTTAATTTGTCTAGATGAGTAGTTCATTATCTGTCCTGCCATACTTTGATGGCACTAACTATAATTATTGGAAAGTTAGGATGAGAACGTTCTTAAAATCTACGAATGAATGGATTTGGTTGAGTGTGGTAATTAGTTGGAGTGCCCCTAGTACAATTGTAGACAACGTAGTGACTCGCACTTCCATTGCTAATTGGACTAGGGCCAACTTAGATGTGAGTAACTGGAATAGCAAATCCTTTCATGCGTTATTTATGGCGGTATCCCCGGGAGAGTTTAGGAGAGTATCTATGTGTGAGGTAGCCAAAGAGGTTTGGAATATTCTATAGACCACACATGAGGGAACTCAGGCTGTTAAGAACTTGAAATTGCAAATGTTGACCACTAAATTTGAAGAGATTTGGATTAGAGAAGGTAAGATGTTTGATGCCCTCTACGGGAGCCTAAATGATATATTGAACTCTAGCTTCAACATAGGAGAGAAAATCCCCGAGCCTAAGATAGTGCGTAAAATTCTTAGATCCTTACCCTAGCGTTTCAGGTCTAAAATTACGGCGATTGAAGAAAGTAAGGACATAGATTTCATTAAGGTAGATGAGTTAGTTGGATCCCTCCAGACGTATGAGCTGACCATAGATAAGCCTGTTAAAGATATAACTTCGGTCATAAATTCGTGAGAAGCACCCGGACCGAATCTTCTATTCTGATTCACCGAATGATGAGGAGTTAGCTTATCTAGCTAAAAAATTCCGAAAAATATTTAGGAAAAAAATAACCATCAAGAGAGACACAAATGTAGCCCGAGTTAATCTAGAAGAAAATCTAAATCTGTAAGGTGCCATAATTGTCAAGGTTTCAGTCATGTTAGGAGTGAGTGTCCTAACAGTAGGAAAAATCTAGATAAGGCTGTGAATTCTACTCTCACTGATGACGAGTTTAACTAGGACAATCAGAGTGAGAAATCAACTCGTGAGGAAAGTGAAAAAATATATTGACTTTACGATGAGAATTAAGGAAGGATCTAATCAGTAGAGTGGAAGAGAAGAGGACCTAGATGGTGATGAGGATTCTGATAAAGAGTCTATGAGTGAGGAAGATATCCAAGAGACTTATGATTAGATATAGGAGGAGAGTCTTAAGATTTTTACTAAAAACAAACCCTTCAGTGCTAAGAATAAGGAACTTGAATTGGAAAATGAGAAGTTAGTAGCGCACATTAAGGAATCTACCTCGATCCTAAGTAAAGTAAAATCCATGAATGAAACTTTAGAGACTCGGATTAAGAACCTCACCAATAACCTTGAGAAGTCTTCTAGGAGAGTTGGCCAGTTGACCACTGAGAAAGAGACCTTAGAAATCCAGGTTAAGAACCTTGTGAAGGATCTAGAATATTATAAGCCTCAACTACTTGGCTTCTCTAGTAGTTTTGAAAAGTTAGACAACATTTTAGGAATGGGCAAGTCGACTGAAAATAAGGGAGGCCTAGGTTTTAAGGAAAACATTGCTAGTACTTCTAAGACCACATTTGTCCCTACCACTGACCATCCCAAACATGTGCCTAAACCCGATCTTAAGAATAAGGATATGTAGGATAGAGGCCTACTAGACATCGTAGGACCCGCCAACCTAGAAATAGACAACAGCGTCCACATAACAGTTGTCCTAGGTTTATCCCTACATGTTTTCATTGCAGTGAGTTGGGACACATAAAACGTAGGTGTCCTCCTTTCCTGAACAGAAATTGAAATCGAAACTTAAATAGAAATACGAATCAGGATTATGTTGGTTAGATTGACTTCCTTACTAATTAGGTAAGTAAATTGATCAATTTAATGGCACGGATGAATAGGAATATTCCTGTCACTAGACAAGTTTGGGTGAATAGAAGTGATCTGAAAATTGTGAAATAGATCATGGTGCTCTTAAAGGTAAGAGTATTTGCATACCTAACTGATTATGTATTTTTTGGTGCATGCTCGTATTTTATCATTATGTGACATTGATATATGCATGCATCATATTTGTTTATTTGTTTTCTAGGTAGAAAACTCGTGTGTGTGTGTGTGTGTATTTTTTTTTTTTTTGTGTTTGACATTTTTTTTTGTGCTTGGTGCATTCACACTCTAAAATAAAAATAACAACAACAACAACAACAACAACAACAACAATAATAATAATAATAATGGAAATTGAAAAATAAAAAATGATGGAAATTTTTACTACAGCATAATATATAACATTCTTGAACTTGTGGGTTGTGATCATGCATGGGTTTAATCGATGAGTTGTACTATAGTTTACATTGTTAGCTTAGGTTATTTATGGAGTATTTAGTATATGTGTTTTCATGTACCATCTGCACTGCACACACTATGATATTGTTAGTAGGATTCTACCGCTTGTGTAAGATTGTGGATGACAGTCACATGTTAATAAGGTGACTTTGGACATGAATTGACATTATTTATTAGACCTAAACTCAAGTTTATCCCATGTAATAAAAAGCTCAATATCTTATATTCTTCTTCAGAGCTTATTTGACTAGAGAAATTAAGTCTACGGGATTTCTCATAACCTGGTACCTATGGTCAACTGACTTGGGTTAATCAACCTAAAGCTTGTTACAAGGACCATGTTAGTCATTCAATGGAGAAGAGTCTGCACTTAAGATGTGAAAAATAATTATGAGCTTAAAATATTGAAAAATATGGAAAATAAATATGCAAAAAGTCAGGGGGAGAAAATAAAATATCAATACAAAATGAGCTTTTATTTGAAGGTCCTCATGTGACTTTCATAAGTAGAGGAATATACTTACCGGTAGTGATGTTTAGCATGTCCTTTCTCACAAAATTAAGGTTTGGAGTCCTACTTACAAATTATTAGTGACACTTTACACACATGAGTCACTTATACAATTTACTCCATGATGACTTGGACGGAGTATTAGGGAAGGTTTATTGTACATTGATTATACTTATGCATACTAACGAATGCGTTTTTTATGTTAATGTTAAAAGTTTTGTGTATCCCTTCGCATTTGTGACAAAAAGGGGGGAGAACGTATTTTTTAAGGGAAGAACATTGAGAACTTGCAATAAGGGGGAGAATGTGCATTACATATCATTTGTATAGCTGTTTGAGTATTGATGTTTTGTGATGTCAATATTTCAATTGGTGTTTTGATTGACATTAACGTCACGTCTCAAGCTAGCATACTTATTTATGTTGTGTTAATGATTTTTGGATTTCCCGTATCACGTACTTTTACACTAGTATTGAGTTGTGAATTTCAGGAAACATGTTTAACAAGGAATGAAAAAGAGATGAGCTTGATGAAGCTTGGATAGTTTAGATTTTATTTTAGTTTTCCTTGACTTATTGTATAGTTTTGTCACAGAATGCAAAAAGAGGAGTTTGTTAGGTTTTTAGTGTTGGCGATTCTATGGACAAAATGACTAATTTGTAACGTATTGTAAAAGTCAAGGACCTAGGGTGCAATTTGTATAAATTGGGTTATGAGGTCTAGGGTTCGAGCATGAAAAAAAGGAGAAAACGGTGCCATATTTT